ACATTTCTTGTGTCCTGCCTTGATGTCTGTGCATCTGGTGAAACAATTGCCTCTTCCAAACTTTACAGAGTGGCTTTCAGAGACAGGTTCTTTCACCTTCAGTTGGGTCTTAGTGTGCTGGTTGAAAAAGGTGTGGTGATTCTGTTTCTATGTAGATCCAGTGATTTAGTCTCTGGGTAGGTTCTTCAGCTGTGACCAATGTCACCAATAACTGTGGGTGCTTCAGTGCCCTAGGCTTTAGAAGTTTGTGGAAGTGGTGGCAGTGGTGTAGATTGTTAAGGTCTTTGGTGGAAAGGGTTTGGGGAGCCTCATATTCTCATTTTTCCCACAGTGGGGAAACTTTGTCATTCCTCTTGGTGTTGGGACTGGCCCAACCTACAAACAGTTGCAATAGTGCTGGGTTCCAGGTGCAGGTGCTTGGAGAAACCATGGAGCCAGGAGCCTTGGCTCAGTGTCTCACAAACCTATTGTGGCACCTAGGTCTTGGGCTGAAGGTTCACTCTCTGTGGCAGGGTTAGATGTCAGTTGCCCATAGCATCAGGATCTGTGGCTCTGAGGACACCTTGCAGCTCAGGCTCTGTGGGCCAGGTTATAGCTGTGACTTTGACCTTGGGGGATTGAGCACAGCATTGGCCAACTCTGGGGGGTGCTCTGGAGGTTTGGTCCCAGAGAGAAGAGTACAGCAATTCAGAGACTAGAGCAAATGGAGCTCAGTTATCACTTGGTTCCCAAGGGTTGAGGAATCTTGTGGTGGTGACTCTAACCTGTAGAATGCTGGGAATCAGAAATATCACAGCCTCTGTGAGGCCTGGTGCAGTGGCACAAGAACCCAGAATGAAAGGGCATAGCTGTTGTTTGGGCCTCAGCGGGTAGGAAGCAGCACAGCACTAACTTCAATCCCTTGGGGAAGGGGCATCTCAGCAGCTCAGTTTCTAGGGAAATAGTCCATCTCCAAGGAAGCAGAGCATTACAGTTATTTGGACCTAAGGGCAGGTGTCTCAGCTCAACCACTACTCTGTTTCCCTGGGACAAGAGGTACTATGTCAGCTGAGCCCTGGAATGCACAGCTGCTCATCTCAGCCAAGCAACTTCTTGGCCAAGCATCTTCTCAGGCAAGACAACAACTCCTCAGCGGTTGATGTACCCCTTCAGTTCAGACCCAGGGGGTTGGGGCACAGCCACCACTGGGAGGGTTAGTTAAAGGTAACCCCAGAAGGAGTGTACAGCATTGCAGCTTCAGGCACTGCTGCAACTGGGAGGGTTGGGTGGAGTGGTTCCACCACTGCTTAGGGTAAGGTGTAACAGCTGTTCTCAGCTCAGCTTGGGGAAGTCAGTTCAACAGAGGCTTAGTCTTTGGGATGAAAGGGTATCATTCACAC